AATTACAATCTACTCCTAGAAATAGTGAAATCTCATCTTTTTTAAGAGGACAGGTTCTAAAGAAAGAGAAAGTATGGGAAATAGGGCAGAGGACACATTAGTTTCCCGTGCACAGAATGTGGGTCTTAGGACACACCCAGTCTGGGCCGCTTAGAGGCAGTACACATAAAAAAGAAGCTCCAGCAGAGGAACAGACTCATAGAAGATGGGGGCAGAAGGTCAGACAAAGGAAATGGCACCAGTGACAAGGCGGTTTTAAATGAAACTGGGGGGGGGGAGGGGAGCGGGGCGGGGGTGGAATGAGGAGACCAGGAAAATCCCACAGGAGCAAGTAATCAGCATTTGTAACCAGCACCTCTGACAGGCAAAGTGATCTCACAAAGATGTCCAATTGTATAGCAATTGGGACTCTGCAGACAAAAAACAAGGAGCCAACTGAAAAAGGAGATTATTTTTGACTACCTTTCTCCAGAGGAAGGCAATAGATGATACAGAAGCACAAGTCAGATTCTAAGTAAGTATGAGGTGGACTTGATGCAACTGACATGAAGGATAGAAAGTTTCTTGCTAAAGCAAGGCAAATGGGACTTCAGTGCTACAAAAGCAAGGAATTAGACACTACCAACATGAACTCGGAAGAGGACTGTTCCCAACATTTCTGATGAAAGTCCAGGGTAACACCTATGTCAGCATTGTGAAGCCTACAGAAACCAGTTTAAATCAACCTGGGCTTCTGACATACACAACTATAGGACAATACATTGCTGTTGCAAGTAGAAAAATCCACACCAAGTGTTGCATCTGCCATAAAAAACTCTCTACCCTACCAACGCCAAGTAATAAATATCCTAGGTCCTCAAGTGGGTCGCGTTTTTCCTCCCCTCTCCCCTCTTTAGCCCAGGATGAGCAAGAGACAAGCAAGGTGGGGACATAGAAGATGCCATTCACAGCTTCAACAAACAACCCCTACTAGAGAATCTAAATGGAGCAGACTTGCAAGTAGGGAGAGGAGAAACCTTCTTTGGAATGAAAATTGTATGAAACTAGGGTTTTCATTACGTAAAAGCAAACCGAAAGGTTTATGACCTGCCTGACACTTTATCCAGAGACAGAAAAATAAGCTCTCAGAGCGGGTTGAAAAAGGCACTGACTGGGACTAATAGTCACTTTCAGCTTGTGCCTACCTTGCTCACCTCATTCAAAAAACAAAAACCAGTTACATTAATCTACAAAGTAGCCACTTAAATTTAACTTGAAGAAATGAAATATGTAAAGCAAAATATGATTCAATGTAATGCCTATCAAAAACACATTGATATTTTTCATAGAAATAAATCATACAAATTACAACTACCAAAGAGCATGAGTAGCCAAAAGGAAAAAAAAAAAAAAATCCTGAGAATAAAAGTCTAAAATTCCCTGACTTCAACTGTTACAGGGTAGCCCAGAGTAGACCTGGGCTGCCTGTCTATGGGACCTCATCCATGCACACAAAATGTAATTTTCTGCAGGCACACATAGAAAGGGTAGACAAAAACGAGAAAGGAAAAGGAAACAACCCAGGGAAAAAGAGAGGGATACAAAGTAGCTGGAATACTTTACCAGCCCGCTAACTTGGAGATGGAGTCCCAAAGTAAGGCTACTAGCCCCCAGTCACACAGTCTGAGAGCAGTTGCTCCACAGAGAGAGAACCGTTACCTCTCTATAGTGACAGTTGGAAAACCGCCTACTGTTTATCCCCCAAAGTCCCAGAATGCCTGTTTAGCTCTGCCCTTAGGTCCTCACAGTTGTCTCCTTCTAATTGCTGGGAGTTGTAGTTTTCCAATCACTGGAGTAGTGGGTGGAATCCAGAAAGCTGGAGTAGGGGGTAGAATCCACAAGATTCTGCAGAGTTCTTTTAGGACATCCTTCCCCTTAACACAACCTATACCACAAAGTGACAGTAATTAACATAGGATCATATAAGGAATAAAAACAGCCATATGGATCAGTGGAACAGAACTTAAGAGCCCAGAAATAAAAATGCACACATTATGAACAAGCAATTTATGGCAAAGAGCAAAAGTGTACAATGCAGCAAAGAAAGCCTCTTCAATAAATGTTACCAGGAAATCTAGACAACCACATGTTCAAGAATGAAATAGACCATGATCTGCAATCACAGCACAAAGAGTAATTCCAAAGGAATCAGACCTGCATGTTAAGACCTAAAGCCAAAAATCACAAACAGCAGATAATATGCTCCTTGACACTGTCCTTAATGATAACCTGTGAGGATCTGACTCCAATGGCAATGAAATAAGAGCAAAAAAGAAAACAGGGGAGGGTCTACACTCACTAAAAAGCTCCAGCACTGAACTACTGAATTACCAACACCAAAAAAAAAAAAAAAATACACTACTGAATCAATAAAGGTATTTGTAGTCATTCATCCAACAAGGAATTAAAATCCAAGGTCTGGCCCTCCCGGGTGGCGCAGCGGGTTAAAGCACAGCACTGAGAATCTAGAGCCGCTTCCGCATGAGTTCGATTCCCGCCTGCCCCGGAGGTGACCACATGGCGTGGCAGACCTCTCCTGACCAGCCCGCTGCTCCCCTCAGCAGTGTACTTCGTCGATCTGCCTGTTCTGTTCCCCACTCTGTCTCTGGTGAAGCCTCTCACCGCCCCTGAGCCTCTGGCCTGTACCCCAGTTCTGTATGCACAAATAAATAAATCTTTAAAAAAAAAAAAAAAATCCAAGGTCTACAAGAAATCATGCAACTCAACAATAAGAAAACAAATATCCAATCAAAAACTGGGCAAAAAAGTTACACACTTCTCTCAAGAAGACAGATGGCCAACAACACATGAAAAGATGTTCATCATCTATTATTAGGGAAATGCAAATCCAAACAGTGAGGTGTCACCTCAACCTGTGAGAATGGCTATTACCCAAAACAAGAAACAGCAAGTGTTGCAAGGGATGTGGAGAGAAGGGAACCTCTGCACAGTTAGTGGGAATATAAATTGGCGCATTATGGAAAACGGTACGCAGACCCCATATGATCCAGTTAACCTGAAGGATATGAGAACACTTTCAAAGAGATATGTGCAAGTCCATGCTTACTGCAGCATTATTACAGTTAGCAAAGTTGTAAACAATACAAGTGCCTTTTAAAACATGATTGGATAAAGATGTGGTATAAAATCACAATACTATTCAGCTATAAAAGGTGAGATCTTGCCACTGGCGGTAATATGGATGGACCTTGAGTGTCTTATGCTAAGTAAAATAAGTCAAATGGCAGGAGTGAAATCCTACAGTGCTTCTTTCTCTGTGGAAGGGAGAGAAACAAAACTTATGAACAAATGAAAAGCTCTTAGAAGAATAAAATAGCTGAAGAGAAAAAAGTAGGGAAATGGAAAAGGGGATCAAATGCTTTATAATCCTATTTTTTTAAACATGTTATAACTTATGTAAACCTGCATTGCTTCAATCAAAGAAAATTTTAAGAAATGAAAGTTATATGTACAAGTTTGTTCACACCACTATTTTACGTATCAAAGATTCACAGAAAAACCAACATGGATTTTTCAGGAAAATTCTATTTTTACCAATGGAGAAAGCCCTTAAGAAGAAGTGTAAGTAAAAAAGTAATCACTTTTCTTTTTAAAAAAGCCCAGTGAAACTATTACCGAGAGACCAAGTAAATCAATTTCCTAAATAAAAGTGAAATGCATACAAATGTTGAAGTAGCACACTGTACTTTGCATTCATTAAGTAATCAAGTGAGCACACTCTCAAAGGACTGTCTTAAGAGTGAAAAGAGGTGTTCTTCAAAACAAAGTTTTTCACCTCATGTTAAATTAAATACTTTTGATGACATTTTTAAATGAGATTTTAAAATTACACAAAATGATAAAACAAAGGACCTAAAGGCAAATTTTACATGGCCTGGAACTTCTGTAGGTGCAAATGCCAAAGGTAAAAATGGCAGACTATTAAATACTGTTTCCTCATAAAATTTTTCATTACTAAAAATACTGGCAAGGTGCAAGCCAAAAATCAAACACAACCTAAATCTAGTATCTCTCCACAGACATAAAAACAGCTTTAAATTTGTCAAAAATGTGGTTCCCCTAAAAAGTCTCACTCCACATTTCAAAAAGGACAAAGACCCTTTTCAACTTCAAAATCATCAGCAGGTTTTCCCTGCAGTGCATTGTAATATGGTCAAGGAATCAGACAGGGAAGTTAAGAACAATTCCTTATTTCTTTCTAAAAAATGCCTTAGTTATAACAAAATTATTTATTAGCAAATCAGTCAGTCCTGTGAAAACAACAATTTCTTTATACTCAAGGTAAAGTGATTTGATTGCAAAAGGTCTTCTGCTGGCAGGGAGACCTACTTAAGCTTTAACAAGTGATATGGCCTAGTTAAATGTGATGTCTGTAATCACTTCAAAAACCTCAATATCCATCTGGACTGTGCATACTATTAAAATTAAATTCTCACCCTTTTCCCGGGGAAGAGTTACAAAATACTTCTTAAGCTATCGTGTCCAGAACAGAATATGCTAAACCATAATATATTCAAAACTCTCTAGATTAGTGGTACTTTTAATGGCTTAAGGCAGTAAAATTCCATACAGTCAAGTCAGTAGCCTGCTCACCCTCCTTACCCAGATGGTACCAGCAGTTCTGATGGGAAAGAAAAAAACTTTTTCTGAACAAGGAAGTCCACAAGCGAACCTAAAAATTCCTATTCCAGAATCTGTTGGAGAGTTAGGTAAGTAGTTCCATAAACATACATGGAAGAGAAAAGAGAGTGAAGGGTATCTTACTTGTTAGTTCTGAGAAGGTGGTCTTTACATAAGCCTCATCATAGATGCAAGGCCACTGATAAAAAGTTCTTGGTTCTAGGCTGAAATTATGCAAACTCATAACAAGAGTTAATGATGACCAAAAACTAAGGCTCTCATAACAAGAAACATTTTATTAAAAAAATAAAAATTCTTACCATCATCTTTTCAAAAAGTTCTAAGACTTCTTTCTCCGACAATGGCTTTGGAATATTTTGCATGGTCTCTAAAGAGCAATCACTGTTCGCAAAGACAGTCTTCAGGTTGGAAAGTGGAGGTCTCTCCTTCTTGCTCCCTGGAATTCTTATGCTGGCAAATCTGTCCAGCTACAAAGATAAAATGGAAAGATTAAAAGGCTCATATCTAAGCATTTCTTCAACAACATGAATCTAATTCCCAAAATGAAAAATAAAACAAAAAGTTCCATCACTTTATCAGTGTGATTTCACCACGGAACATTTAGCACTGGTTTCTCTAAAACTAAAAAAATATGAAAATTGAGTGTTTCCAACAACTATCTACCTAGAAAAAAAGAGAAACTATCTTAAACTTTTCTTCCAACTTTAAAGTTATAGAACTGAGAATCTAATGACAAGGTTACCTTAACAGATGAGCAAATTAAGCAGTATTAGAAAGGTGACTTCACTAAATAGCCATCAAACTCTGTGCCCCCAGTGCTGTCATGTAATGTCCTTTCATAATGCTTAATCACGCTCATGGGTGAAAGGGACGACCATGATTCAGGAATGTTTACAATTCTACTTTAATCTCCATAGTTTACTGGCCTCATAGTCACATACATTTTCTTTTTTTTTTTTTTTTAAGATTTATTTATTTGTGCATACAGAACTGGGGTACAGGCCAGAGGCTCAGGGCAGTGAGAGGATTCACCAGAGACAGAATGGGGAATAGAACAGGCAGATTGAGAAAGTACACTGCTGAGGGGGGCAGTGAGAGGGTCAGGAGAGGTCTGCCACGCCATGTGGTCACCTCCGGGGCAGGCGGGAATCGAACTCATGCGGAAGCGGCTTTAGATTCTCAGTGCTGTCCTTTAACCCACTGCGCCACCAAGGAGGGCCAGACACATACATTTTCATTTACAAATTGGTCTGAATTTCACAACCAACTATAGAGAAGGGTGGTTACAACTTCACAAAAATTTGGGGCTTTTCTGAAGCTGGATTTGTCTTACAATGGGTTTTCTTCTACAACCAGTAAAGCTAGTTCACTAATATTTCAAAGTGAACAGATACTGATTTTGCAAAGATAATTTCATTTCATTCACTGAAAATTGCTTGAACAGATCTCAGATCTGTTCATTACAGAACCCAGATTTATACCAAGTTTCAAGTAGTAACGATCAAAAAGGCAAAAAAAATTAAAGTATTAATAGAAGTCTACTTCTGATTCATTTCTGTGAATTACTTAGCATAACATGCAATTATTAAGCCTCTCAGTTTCTTAGTCACACTATCCACATATAAAAATGCTCAAAAACCACATGAGCTAGAGATATAACGGTCAAAGCACATATGCAAGATTTCTAACAACATAGAACTTTCTATTGAATAGAGCTAGTATCTCATTAAAGAAATGACATTTAAAATTATCAATTTAAAAAGATATTAAGTCACAGTACAAATAATTCACTTTACTAAAGAAGTAGGCTTTCCTCAAATGATGTGTAAAGGTAATAATGTTTATCTTTCAAAATAGGCCTTTAAATTCACTATGACTACAGTTTAGGAAAAATATTATGCATTGAACTCACAAGAGCTAACATGACCTAGACATCAAAGCACCAGAATATGGTGGTTTCTGGCAGGATTCTAATTCATTGATGACATCACTGTTTCATCCTAAACCAAACCCAGCCAGACAGCCCACAAAAACCATAGCTACTGCTATTTCAACCCATCAGGAAACTAATAACAACACACATACACACACACGCACACACGCACGCGCCTGTCAAACTATGGACCAGGAATGGCAACCTGCTGAATCCTGTTTATCCTTAATAAACAGCTGGAGAAGTTAAAGATACAGAAAAACTAGTAAAATTTCTCAGAAACTACTGACAGCTGCCTAGGTGCTGTCACAAGAAGTTGGAATTCCAAGGAGCATAGGGCAAAAGGCCCAGCCAAGCAGCAAGTCTGCACCCACCTCCCAACGCTTTCCTTCAAATGGTCACCAATTTCGGGGGGGGGGGGTAGATGGGGGGGGTAGATGGTGGGGGGCCAGCACCCAGTGGCTGAAGCAAGGCAAGAAAGCTCTGCAAGATTTCCTGAGGCATGAGAGGCCTCTCCAGAGACCAAGCAGCTGCTCTCCAAAGATTGATTTGGCTTCCAAAGGCATCCAGGATGCTACCATCTGAAGACTGGTGCCAGATACCAGGTCAGAGAAAGAAGTTTGAAGAAGCAAACCAGAAATAGAGCTAAAAGCAAAAAGAATTCCACTATTAACCCTGAAAAAGAGTATCAGGACTTTAAAACAGAAAAAGATATACCACTCTTTTGAAATCTAATAGTTCAGTTATAGAAATAAAACAGACTGCCAGAAACCTCGGGTGTGCTCTGAGCCAACTCCAAAGATAACTGACACCACGGATGAGCTAAAGCAAACTAGAGCCACACTTAAGCCAAACGGGGCTCATATTTACTCAGTCCCCAATTGGAGTAGCCTGATTAAGAAGGTCATGCCCTTTCTTAGAAGCAATTATTATTTACTTTAATTTCTACTTTAAATAAAATAAAATGTCCACCATATAGTCAAATATTGCTAGACACACAAAGACGAGCATTTGACCCATAATTAAAAGAAACAGACCTAGAGCTAGCCCAGTTGATGAAGTTATCTGATAATTTAAAATAAAATTTATGAAAACACTAAAAGTGTTACTTAGCATGAACACCATCAGCGAGATGGGGAATTTCATGGAAAGTCATGGAAACTTTCATGGAAAGTCATGGAAACTTTTTTAAAAATAAAGAGATACAGTAAGAGAAAGGACCAGAAATACAAAAATCACTGAAAGGGTTTTTTAAAATAACTGAATGTTGCTGAGAAGAACTAATAAATCTATATACAGAACAACACAGAATATTCAAAACACAGAATGGAAAAGAAGAGAAAAGAACAAAGCAACCAGTATCTGTAATATATCATAAAATATTTTAACACAAGTGTAATTGAGGATGAGAAACAGAAGAACGGAGCAGAAATCTGATTTCAGGAAATAATTACTGAGCTAACGGATAAACATCAATTCATAGAAACAGCTCAGTAAACTCCAAGAATAAATGCCAAAAACAGAAAGCCCACATTTGGGCACATTATTGTCAAAGTGCTGAATATTAACAAGAAAGAGCCAACCATGACAGTGCAGCTAGAGAAATAAAAAGTCACTGAAGAAAAATTATACAAATGAAATAAAATACAAACTCATTTTGCACCAGAAACAATGGTACGAGACAACAATGGGTAACATTTTCAAGTACTGGAAGGAAAAAAAAAAAACCTGTTATCCTGGGGTTCTATAGCCACTGAAAATACCTTTCATAAATAAAAGCAAAATATATTTCAAACAGTCAAAAGCTGAGAGAATGTATCTCCAGCAGACCTATACTACAAAAAGTGTCAAAAAGTTCTTCAGATTGAAAAGAAATGAGAACAGATGGACTCCCAGATCTACAAAAAAAAGATGAAAAGAACATGGGTATGCTACTCTATTAGATGCCAGTGCTACATGGATAAATGAGCTAAATCAACCTTAATTAACTAACAAACAAGTTTTGAAGTACCCAAACAGGTTAGTATACAGTTGTATAGAAAACGTAGCAGCAGGAATATATAAAGGAGTATCAAACTCAATAACATAAGCCCAACCCACTTTGGAATAAGCAGGAGCCTAAATTGCCTCTATGCAAATATATATTCAAAAGTTACTGTACCCATGTATGTTAATGCCCCAATTCTTGTTATTGTTTAAAAAAAAAAAAAAGACAACTGAAAAAATTTCAAGTAGTTGGTCTAGTTTCTGCTTTCTGAGTCACTATTTCATTGCTGTTACTTCTATACAGTTAAAAATAATTGTTGAGTGCAAGAAACGATGCTTACTACTCTTGACTCACCACAAAAATTATAGCTTAATTAATATGCTAAACTTATAATGTAGTGTAATTAAGAAAAACATCATTAATACAACATCAATATTACAAATGTAAACATGTCAATAAACTAGAATAGTAAGCTTAAGCAAGTCATAAACTAATTTATAAATTTATAACCTAGTGGTTCCTTCAGTGGTACAAGATATCCAAAATATGTAGTTTTCACCAAGAATCAAACCCTGAAATAAGAATTTCTAGAAGTCATAAAATAATAGCCACTAATCTATAGTAAGTTCCTTTTATATGTTACTAAGCACTGTGCTAGGAGCGTGAATCAAGAGGACTGCATTTATTTAATCTTTACAATTAGGAATCTGCTTGGCCAAATAACAAAGGACAAGCTCCAACACACTTCTATACATAAAATTTACAGTGTTTATCTTACAGAATAGCATGAAAAATATAAATCTCATGTTTTTTTAGAAATAGAACTCCGTTTCTATCAATAAACAGTATCACAATTTGTACAATAGTAAAATTAACACCACTCCCCTTGTGCTTAAAACCTATACTCTGGCAGAAGGCTAGATTTAATCCCAATGGAAAAACAAACATGCACATTATCACAAAGGTACCTAAAGTGGAATTAGGAAGAGTTAGCACAGATTTATAATTTCTAAATTTACAGAGGTCCAAATATAGTATCATGAGATACAAAAAGATCAATGTTTCATTATTTCAATACAATGTTTTTATTTATTTCCCTCCATGAAAAGACAAACAAAGTAAGAAACATAAAGGAAAAATAGATGCAATCCGCCCTCCTATACTGGAGTGGTAAATTTGATGTGTGCAATACCTCAGGCTTAAAGCAACAATCATTCCCAGGAATGTGATGCCCTGCTGGGCACTACAGGTACCTTCCACATAATCTGGACACTATTATATAGCCATGTGCACAGTGAATTTTGTAACATTTAAAATGATTTTTCCAAAGGCTATGTGGCTGTTCCTTAAGTGTAAAATCACTCCTGACTTAACCTTCATGGGTAAATTAAGACACGTTGGCAAATTAAACATTCAATTTGCTTAACAGCAAGGCACAATAGAAGATGAAAGCAAACTTTAAAATTATTTTCACACATAAATACACAAAGGAAATCATCATACTGCCTGTAGGTTGGTTGATATTTTGCGTGCTGGCAAACTGACTG